TAGTAGTTGGCGTGAGTGCGAATCGTTTGGCGATGGTATCGGCATATTTTGCGGCGTTGAGATAGATCGCATTTTCTCCTTCCTGGATATTGAGGCCGAGGTACTGCGTGACGGTAGATGAAACCGTGAGCGTAAGATCTCTCTGTAACTCCCCTTCGAACCGGGTAGTGATGTTGTCGGTCGACCCGATGTAGAGCAGATCGTCTACGTAGACGACTAGTAGAATGTAGTCGTCGCCTTTCGTGAGCCGGTACATTCCTTGGTCGTGCGGTAGCTGCCGGAATCCGATGCGAGTGAGTCGAGCGTGTAAGTACTGCTGCCACAGTCTCGGGGCCTGTTTGATCCCGTACAAGGACTTCAGTAGCTGGCAGACTTGGTTAGGTTCTCCATGGGAACCATGTGGAAGTTCGACGAAGATTTCTGCGTCGACAGGTGCGTAGAGAAAAGCATTGGCAACGTCAATTTGCCGTAGCTTCTTTTTCTTCATAGCGGCGATCGCGAGAAGAATCCGTAGTGAGGTGTGTCGACTAACCGGTGCGAATGTCTCGGTGAAATCGCGTCCGTGCTCTTGGTCGAAGCCGCGTACGACCCAACGTGCCTTGAACTTGTCGATGGTGCCATCTGCTTTCGTCTTCACACGGAAGACCCACTTCCCGGTGAGTATTGTCTTGTTTTGTGTCACGCCGATAGGAACAACTTTCCAGGTGTTGCGCTCCTGTAGTGCTTTCAGTTCCTTGTCCATGGCTTCACGCCATTTTTCCTTATGCTCCCCCCCCCAGAGCCTGCTGAACTGTGGCAGGCTCCTTAGGAGTGTCCGTGCCGTGGACTGCGGTGACGAGACCAAGTATCTGAAGGCCACTCTGTGTGTCGCGGGGGAGTGTTGTGTCCGCGGGATAAGCTGCTTCGTCACCTGTTTCTGGGTCAGGTATGAAGTTGGGCCCTATGCGTTCTGCTTCGTTGGTGTTGACTTCTGCAGGTGTAACGTAACCAGTGTCGGCGAGGTCGAAATAAGTTTCGGCGTTGACGCTTTCGCGAGGATTTTCGTCATCCATCGGGATAGGCACGGAGCAGTAAGGGAGTGGTCCTGCTTCTTCCGAGGCGTTATCCACGTTCTGCTCGTCCCAGTCAGCTTCGTCTGCTGCCGAGGCGAAGTGTCTGTCACCACGGAAGCCACCTGTGGGATCCCGATCTTCTTCCAGGTTGGCAAGGTATGTCGGAAGGGTGAGTCGTTCGTAGAAAATGACGTCACGTGCTGCTACTGTTTCTTTGGAGTGGACGTCGAAAATCTTCCACGCGTTGTAATTTCTTTCGATGCCCTGGTGTAGTCCCCACTGTGCGCGTTGGGAAAATCGGCCGGCTCGTGCAGATGGGGGTCCGTACTGTACCATGCAGCCGAAAACTCTTAACATTTTTGTGCTGCCCTGTTTTCCTGTCCACAGCAGGTGCGGTGATGCGTTGTTCGGTAGTGATGACGACGAAAGCAAGTTGTGCAGCATGACAGCGTGGTCCATCGCTTCAGGCCACTGGTGATTGGGCAGTCGCATGCCACGCAGTAATTTGCGCATGGTGTTCTGGAGAGTTCGATTCATCCGTTCCGCCACGCCTTGCTGTTGATGGGCGTAAGGAAGCGAGATGAGTCTCTTGATTCCCCTTTCTGCCAAGAACTGCTTGAACCTCTATGAGGTGTATTCTCCTCCTCCGTCTGACTGAAAGCTTTTCAGTTTCTCGCCTGATTCTCGCTCTGCTACTGGAAGCCAAGCGATGAAGGCTTCGAAGGCCATGTCCTTGCTTGGAAGATTGAGGTGCCAAACGTAACGTGTAGCTGCATCGATGAACGTGATGGTATAACTGTATGCTCCTTGTCCGGGTTCGCGATTGTACAGGATGTCGCTGTACACCTTTTCGAGTGGTGCGTAAGCTGGTGCGCTGGGGTTGTGGTGAGAAGTGAAAGGTCGATGCGGTAAGTCAGCTTCGGGGCAGGTAAAACACGTTCCTCGCGCTCGTCGAAGTTCGCTTCCATCGGTTAGAAGCAATGAATCTTTGTCAAGTACTCCTGCTCGAATTGTATTGTTTAACACCGTGTTGCTTGGGTGTCCCATTCGTGCATGCCAGATATCTTTGCTGGCGCGATGGCCGGGTGAGCGACGATACAGGTCGGAGTTGGAGTAAAAGGCGGCGGTGAAGTTGGCGCTTCTGTGAACTTCGCGAGGAGTGGGAGTTAGCTGCTGCGCAGGAGTCGGTGGAGTATTGTCGATGTGTGGCGATGTCGTTGAAGAACTCGCGACTGGTTTTGTAAGTGTTGTTGGTGTTGCCGATGTTTCTGCTGCTGCCGATGTTGTTTCTGCTGCTGCCGGGTGTTGAATTGTTGCTAATGCTCTTGTGCTTTCTGCTTCAGGGATGGTGTGCGAGTACCAGAAACCTTCTGGACTGAAGTCGGGGTCAAGATCTGGTGGGTGCGTCCAGGGGGCGAAGTTGACAATGGCGTCGCTGTCGGCCGTTCCAAGATCTGGTACGAAATCGAGGACGAATACGTTATTCTTCAATACTGCTTTGCCGATGTAGAGTCCTCCTCGACCGTGGAAGAGCTTGAACTCCTGTGTGGTGCTGTCTGCTTCGAGGTGGATGCCCTTCGCCATCAGTTGACTGACGCTCAGTAAGTTGTAGCTGAGTCCTTCTGCTATCAAAACCTTTGATATTTGCAGTATAACATTTGTCTCTCGTGACTAAAGTTGCACTATGCCTTGTCGTCGTGTGCGCAGATTTTGATTGTTGGCGACGGTGATGACGACCTCGCGTTGAAGTTGGTGTTCTCGTTGAACAAAGCGTCCTGAAGAGCACATATGCTGTCCGCAGCAGCTGTCCAAAAACCATGTATCTTTTCCGGACGGTTCGCTTTGAGCGATAGCTGCATACGTCGGATTTGGTTGAAGTGACTCGCGGCGAGGCGTGCTGTTGTCGAGTTGCTCTTCCGGTGAGTAATATGGTGGTGATTCTGTGATGCAGGAATCGGTCAGTCGTGTCATGCAACTGACGATGTTTCTTGTTCCTTGCGCAGGTTGTCCCGTCGATGTCGTTGAGGCTTGTACTTGAGAAGTTGAACTCGCTTGCGTTGAGGCAACTTGACTGCTTGAAGGCCGAAGCTGCCGCTGCGTTGATACTGACTGTTGTCGGTTAGGGCAGTGTGAGCGAGGATGCCCTGACATCTTGCAAAGCTGACAGAACGGAGGTACTGATTTCGGTTGATGCCGATTGTTGTTGTAGCGTCGTTGAGTGTGGAATGCAAATTCGGGCACTGATGCCTTCTTCTTGTGTCGTTCCTCTTGCAGGTCCATATCTTGCTGCTCTGCATGGATTTCGGCGCAGAGTGCTGCTTCTGATATCTTTCCATGCGCTCGGAGTATGGCGCGGGTGGAGCGCCACTGAGGACCGAGGCCGCCGATGATGACTGTGACGAAGGCGTCTTCTGAAATCGACCCTCCGCATCGAAGGAGTTTGTCGCGCAATTCGCGACAACGGCTGATATACGCCATCCCCTTTTCGCCTGGTTTCATTTCAACTGTCGTCAATTGCGCCATTAACCGACTTTGATTTACGCTGTCTGTTGCTTGATACAGGTTCTTCAAGTGGTTGTACGCGAGCTCTGCAGAGTTGCCGTATCCCCGGTAAGACCGTATATTCGGCTGCTGATTCGGAGTGATGTTTCTCAGTAGGATTGTGTACGCCATCATTGACTGATACGTGTACTGCTGCTTGTCGTATTGTGTGCCGTGTGTTGGATATGGCAGGGACCCGTTGAAGAAGCCAAGGATCTGCGCGCCTTCCATCATTAGCTCGAACTCGAATGACCAGGTAAAGAAGTATTTTCCGTCGAAAGGCTTTGTCGTTTGCAGTTTTAAGACATGCGCGAACTGCGACTGAACTTGAAGTGCATCCAGTGTCCTTTCTTGCCCAGATGCAGGCTGCGGGTGTGGTATAAAGCTGACGGAGCCACGCTGGGGCTCGTACGGAGCAAAGGTAGGCCGTTGCTGTTGATTTCCACGTGCGTAGGATGAACCGTCGAGGCTCATCGGTGTTGCGTTGTTGTTGTTGCTGTTGTTTGACTGTGCAGGTGCCCCTTGCTGGTGTTGTTCGTAGAAGGACATGAAGGAGAAGAACTTCTCCATCATGTCTGGATCGAAGGCCGCAGCTTGGTTTGCGGGAGTTTCCGAAGACGATGCCCTTGGTCTTGTTGCCGTACCCTCCCCTCCTTGGCAGGAGGTGGAGTAGGAGTGGTACCGGGAGAGCCGTTAGAGGAGCTTCTCTCCTTCTGCGTTGCCATGTCTTGTGATGTTGTAGATATCTTGATCGTAGTCGAATTTGCCCTGACCGCTCTGATACCATGTTGGGCTGAAAAAAGCCCTTAGGATCTTTGCAGGACAGAATTCAAATGTAGGATGATGTAGTAGCGGAAGCGTTTAATAAAGACTTGTTGAACCACCTTGTACTGGTTTGTGAGAACAAAGTAAGTTGATAATAACAAAAGGATACAAGCTTTTATATGATTACAAGGAATATGAAAAGTTCTATTTTAACTGTTTTGCTGTTGTGGTTCGGTACAGTGCCGACTCGGGTAACTGCTCTGTAACGAGTCAGTTATATGTCCTTACTGTCGCACTGTGCATTTCGTCAGGTCAAAGGTCGGGGACCTTTGACCTTCGCGTAACCTCCGATAGTTGACTCGCGTGCTGCTTCGCTGTAGTCAGTTCCGTTTTGTGTCTCAGCTTCGATACGACAGAGGCGCTATAAATCACTTGTTTCCATAAGAAACGACTGAGATTCATGCCATGAATGACATTCTTAATTTGATTTACCTACCACATGGGCTTTGGCTTATTTCTACTACCGGGTTTAGGCATGCTTGCCGTGCTAACAACTAGCAATATTAGACTGCTCAGCTACCAATATCCAGGCATGTAAACTGACCAAGGAGTATTCGCCTCCCCTGTTTTGCCTGTGTTGCTTTATATGCTTCTAGTAACCTGTTCTTGTCCTCCACTCTGCCCTGTGCCTCCTCCCGCTCCTCCTCCGCTTCCTCCTCCTCCTCCCCTTGCTCCTGCTCCCCACCTTCCCACAACACCTATTTTCCCTCCTGGAGCCTGCACTAGGCCAGGAGAGACCACCACACCACCAGGTGTTACAATCTGTGGTGGGTTTCCACCTGCAGGTGCTTTCAACGGAGGCTTGGGGACGGTAGGTGCTGCTCCAGGTGTTTTCGGACCTACAGGTGCTTTCACTGGTGTTTTTGGAGCTGGGGAAGTGACGGGGGGGCGAACCAATGGCGGCTTGACACCAGGCGGTTTGACAGTTGGAGCCTTTGCTGCTGGGGGTTTCACAACGGGCGGTTTCACTGCTGGTGGCTTCACTAGAGGCTTGGTTGTAGGGGGGGTGACTGCAGGAGGCTTGACAACGGGTGGCTTGACTGCAGGAGACTTGGCTACGGGTGGGTTCACCACAGGGGGTTTGGTTACAGGAGACTTGACTGCAGGTGGGCTCACTACAGGAGGCTTGGTTGTAGGGGAGGTGACTGCAGGAGGTTTGGTTGCAGGTGGTTTAACTGGCGGCTTGAGCATTGGTGGATTGACTACAGGGGGTGTGACTGCAGGTGGCTTGACAGCGGGTGGCTTGACTACAGGTGGATTCACTACAGGGGGTTTGGCTGCAGGAGGCTTCACTACAGGTGGATTTACCACAGGGGTTTTGGCTGCAGGTGGTTTGACAGGTGATTTAACAGGTGGGTTGACAGGTGGGTTGACTGCAGGAGGTGTCACCCCACCTCCATCCCCTGTTTCTCCCACTCCTCCCCCTCCTCCCCCTGCACTCCCCCCTGTTCCGCCCGCTCCTCCGCCCGCTCCGCTTCCGCCTTGCTGCGGATTCCGCTGCTCCCCGCCCCCCTTGCTCCCGTCCCCCTTGCTCCCGTTCTTGCCTCCCGCCGTGGATGGAGCGGGCGGCGCGTTAGCGAGCTGGACAAACGTCGGTTCTAGAAGCGCGTTGGTATAATAAAGATCGACCCACGCGTCGGGCACGCCTGGCAGGCACCAGTGCGTGCAATCCCCGGGCCATTTCGCCATGCGCTTCGTCAGATCCTTAAATTCCGGGTTCCGCACGATGTCGTCGCTCCACAGACCGAGGTGCGCGTCGGGCCGGACCGCGCTGAGCCGCGTCACGTGCAAGAGGCGCATCGGGCTGCCCGTACCCGTTAACGACAGCTTCTGCATCGCGTAGAAGTTTTCAGTTTCCTGCGTGGTCGGGTATAGCTGCGCGACGGCGGATTTAACCACGGACGTTGCGCCGCACGCGCCGGCCTTGGTGGAATTTGCCGGCGGGTTGTAGTGCTTCGGGGAGGAAGAGACGAAATACGGCACGCCCGGGTAGTCGATATTTTTCAGGTGCTGCCCGAGATTGTGCATCGCCTCGCGATACGCGTCCATGTCGGATACGTCGATCAGCTTCCCGCCGCGGAAGTAGCTGTTCTTCTTGCTCCTTCCCGGAACGTTTTGCATCCACCAGGCCATGGAGTGGAATATAATCCCGTGATACGCGGGGATGACGTGGAGCAGATCTGGATCGATAACGTCCACGTCGATCTGATATCCGTGGTTGCCCTTTTTACCGTTCTCGTTATAGCCCATAGCGGAGCGCATGAGGTGCGGGAGGAAGTAGTAGTGTATTTCAAAGCGGAATCCGGGGAAGGAAAACCCGCGGAACCGCGCTCCGCTGGGCGTGCGGTAGCTCACTTTCTGGAAGGGGGGAGACAGTTGGGGTGGGGGGAGGGGGGGGCGGGGAGGAGGGGGAAGAGGATATAAGTCAGGAGCGCATGAGGTGCGGGAGGAAGTAGGAGTGCATTTCGAAGCGGAAACCGGGGGAGATGGGAGGTGTGGGAGCGAGGACGGGGGAGCAGGGAGCGGGGAGGGGGGAGGGGTGGGAAAGGGGGAGGGGGGAGGGGGGAGGAGGGGAAGGGGGGAGGAGAGAGGGAGGAATTGGGGATCCGGAGAAGGAGAAGCCACGAAATCGGGCTCTGCTGGGAGTAGGGTAAAAGGGGAGGGGGGAATTAAGGAGAGCGAAAGTTGGGGTGGCGTAGCATATAAAAGTCGTATGACCGAAGGATGCTATAATAAAATACGCACTCACCTTTCTCTCGCTTCCACTCCCCACCAGCTCTTAACCTCTCACCAATGCATGCACACTGTCACCCTCCCCTCCCCTTCCTTTCCCCCCCCCTCCACACACATACAAGCCCCAGGTGCGTGAACGATCGTCTCTCATGATTGACCAATGTCCCTTCCTTTTCTTTCTGTCTCTCATTCTCTATTTCTTCGAGCTGTTCATTCTACGACACGCACACGCACTCCCACACACACACACACACACACACACACACACACACACACCTTCTCCCCCCTCCCCCCCACACACACACACGCACACGCACCTTCCCCACCACACACACACCCTCAAGCTCTCTATTTCTTCAAGCTGTTCATTCTACGACACGCACACGCACTCCCACACACACACACACACACACACCTTCTCCCCCCTCCCCCCCCCCCCACACACACACGCACACGCACCTTCCCCACCACACACACCCTCAAGCTCTCTATTTCTTCAAGCTGTTCATTCTACGACACGCACACGCACTCCCACACACACATACACACACACGCACACACACCTTCTCCCCCCTCCCCCCCCCCCACACACACACGCACACGCACCTTCCCCACCACACACACACCCTCAAGCTGATCATTCTACCTTGCCTAGGAAATACCGACCCGGTGTGTGAATGGTCCGGAGGTAATCAAGCACAGCAGCGACTCGTACATGTTCCCCATTATCGAATCTCCCACCATCAAAAGCTTCTGTAACGGGGACGCAAGAATCCAGTGCGAAAACACAGATGGATATAGCTTAATGCTGATGTCGTGAGTACGGCGGATTCACTGTAGCAGCAGTGAGCTATACTAGGGGGACAAGGGGTGCCTTATAAAGGAGATCTTATGCGCGAATGGCCGAAAGGTGATCAGGCACAGCAGCGACTCCTACATGGCCCCAATGATCAAAGCTGCAACCACCAAAACTGCCGTTTTCGCTGTTGGTGCAACCCTACGGTTTGCACTCGGCTTGTTGTCCGTGTGCGTGAATGTGTGTGTGTATGGAATGGTATGAGGGCATGGGATAATATATATTTCATGCTTATAATTGTGTGTGAATGTTGAGTCATGATGTCGAGTGTGTGTGTCGAGTCAATAGCGAGTTATCGCTAGACGCGTGTTACGCGGTCGTTTGTGTCTCGCGCGCGGTTTCTATTTTGTCGTGCGCGGTTTCTATTTTGTCCTGTGTCGAACGTTCGGCGTGTCGCAGGTGTGTGCAGCAGACCCATCAAGAACTCAAGGATGAGTTTGTGATAAAGAGCCCGAGCCTTGGTGTCAAGCCTCAAGTGATTTCGAAGCTCGCCAAAAGGGTACACCTCAAGATATTGAAGATAGTTACATTACTTTGTGTAGTGTAACATTTCACTTGGTGTAGGCCCTAGTGAAGGGTAGTTTCGAGACCCTTCGTGGTTGGGGACAGTGTGGCACTGTTCCACATCACTGTACCTCGGCTCTTGGGGTTTGTAGGAGCTGGGAGTCATTCCCAACTCGTAACTCTTCCTATCTTGTGTTCTAAGACTATAGTGGCTGCCATAGTACCGTTCGTTCAAACCGACACTGTGTCGTCAATTCTTTATCAAATCATGCAATCTAAATTGATAATTGTAGATGACGTGAAGACGCTCCAGATCCAATTTGAATCAAGTCATTTGCAGCTGTGAGCAGAACGCTATCAACGTTTGAAGCCGCTGTGCAGAAATCCGTCTGTGCTCTCTATCTTTCGTTTTAGGCACATTCAAGCCTATTGTGACTATAACAAGTGGTATCAGAGCCCTTGGAGCAGTTTCGACAATGTCTGGACCTGAGGAAAGGGGTGGCAGAGGTGCTGGTGGCAGTGGAGAAGCTCAAGCTCAAGGCCAACCCCGTGATTCAGCCATGGCGCCCATGCAACCAAGTCTTGGCCCACCTAGGGATGAGCCTAGGGTGTTTGGGCTTGACAAGTTCAACGGTGACAACTTTGCTGAATGGTCCTTCAAGATGGAGAACATCTTTGACCACTATGACCTGCTGGAGGTGATGGAAGGAACGGAGAAGCGCCCCGAGAACGACCCGGAGAAGAGCTCGTGGGTGCGGAAGAGCGCACAAGGCTATCTCTTACTTGGGCAAGCGTTGGGGAGCAGTCAGATCCGTCACATCAAGCCATTCCAGCGTGAACCAGAGAAAGGACCAAATGCATGGGCTGCTCTCAAGGGTGTACATGCTCCTGCAACAGCGGCGGTAGCGGTGGTGTTGGAACGGCAAATGGCGGCACTACGAATTGAAGAAGACGAAGCGGTTGAAGAAGGGGTGCAGAAATTCTTCGACTTGTTGACGCGGCTTGAGGGAGCTGATTTGAACTACAGTGAGCTCCAAAAGAAGACCAAGTTGCTGGCCTTACTCCCAGAGTCATGGTCCTCGCTCATCATCAACCTTAATCGCGACTTGCCCCGCCTCTCGCTTGAAGACGTGAAGCGAGCTATCCTTCAAGAGGATTTCCGCCACCGTGAGTTGGCGAGTGCGGATGGCGCTGGGGCAGCGAGCATCGGCCGTGGATATGGTCGAGGAAGAGGCAGAGGACGAGGGGGAGGAAGGTTTGGTGGCAGCAACTTCGGCGGAGGCCGCAGGAGTGGCGGTTACGGCAGCGACGACAAGAGCTACGGACGCGGTCGCGGCCGATTCGACGACGAGTGTCACTATTGCCACAAGAGCGGACACATGTGGCGCGACTGCTACAAACTCCCTGATGGTTGGACCCCTGCTCAAGGCCAAGAGGGTAGAGGAGCAGGAGGAGGGAGAGGACGAGGCCGTGGAGGCTGTGGCGGTCGCGGTGGCGGAGCTGCAAACATGAAGAGCGGAGACAACGACAAGGACCCGAGCGACGATCGATACCTGGGTCTATTCTACTTCGTGTCGACGCAAGTACCGGCTGGTCCAGAGAAGGATGAAGGCTTTGAGAAGCCAGCAGCTGTGGGGAAGGTGACCCTACACCCCCTGGACTATTGGGTGATTGATAGTGGCGCTACCTATAGCATGACACCTCGCCCGGACTTGCTCACCGAACTCGAGCCGTCACCGCTGAAGCATGTCACATCGGCTTTGGGGCAGCGAGCAGAGGTGAAAGGCATGGGCAAGGCCATGTTCAAGGGTGCTGATGGGAAGATGGTGGGCCTCAAGAACGTGCTTTGGGTGCCCAGCCTTGCTGCAAACCTGATTTCCGTGCGGCGGTTGGCAAAGGCCGGCATGGACACGAACTCGAAGGGAGCCAAGACCTACACCGCAAGGCTTGGCGATCGAATTCTTTGGGACCTTCATGAGGACAGGGATGTCTACAACGAGATGTGGCAGATCCCAGTGGTCCCTATGCCTAAGGAGAGGCAAGTGGCAGCAAGCATCAGCACCAAGGATGGAGCGGTCGGTAGCGACGATGGCGCGAACGGTCGCGCTAAGGAGAATGAGCTCAAGAAGAGCAAACCTGGAGGGACCAGCAAGTTCAGTGAACCTAAGGAGAGTGGTGCAGCAACCAAGGAGCAGCAAAAGGGTGAGGAGAACCCAGAGGCAGCAGCGGAGGAGGACTACGGAGAGAGTATGTGGGGCGCTATTGCGAGCGCGGCATTCTCCAATCCAACTTCGGCTACGGGGGAGTGTGATTGGCTCACCTTGCATCGGCGCATGGGGCATGTGGCCCTGCCCATCTTGCAGCAGCTAGTGAAGAATGAGATGGTTGCTGGCATACGTGTGAAGGGGGAGCCCGATGAGGTGCTTGGCTGCCCGACGTGCATTCAAGCCAAGTTCACCCGGTTTCCCTTGCCTAGTTCGGAGGCAACGGCAAAGGCACCGCTTGATGAGGTGGTGATGGACGTGGTGGGCCCTCTGAAGCTTGGAGCTGCTGGAGCTGAGTATTTTCTCACCATTGTCGACGTCTACACCCGCATGACTTGGGTGTACGTGCTGGCCAAGAAGAGCGACGTGGCTGAAACGTTGAAGACGGATTGGTTCCCGATGGTGGAGCGGCAACAAGACCGTCTAGTCAAGTCAATCCGCACCGATCGAGGGGGAGAGTTCCTGAGCAAGGAGTTTGGGTTGTGGCTGAAGAAGAATGGTATTCGGCACTCCCTCACCATGCCATACTCCCCTGCAATGAACGGCATCGCCGAGCGAGCGAACCGCACAATCACGGAGGCGGCACGCGGGTTGCTCATTGAAGCCGGGCTACCCGACTATTTCTGGCCTGATGCGGTGCGGAGCGCGTGTGTGGCCAAGAACAGAGCCTTGACTCATGTGGGAGCAGACAAATGGGTGCCCTATGTGGAGTGGCTAGGAAGGAAGCCAAAGGTGGATATGCTTCGGGTGTTCGGGTGCATGTGCATGGCGCTCGTGCCTAAGCATCTTCGGCACAACAAGCTTGGTGCCAAGGCGGTGTGGGCCGTGCACTTGGGCATGGCTCAAAATAGCAAGGGATGGCTTCTTTGGGACCCATTCACCAAGAAGTTCTTGGTGAGCAGGGACTGCAAGTTCATGGAGAACTTCATGTACAAGGATTGGAAGGCGGAGAATGAGGCGAAGATAGGCGTGCGGTTTGGGGAGGTGAAGAGTTCCGGTTTGGAGCATGTGGAGCTGCCTTTGGAACTGAGCAGCGGCAGCACAACCACAAGGCAATCCTCCCTTGTGAATGGGGGAGAGGAGGCCAATGATGCAGAGGAAGAAGAGGAGGAGGTGCAGCAAGTGAGCGAGCGTGCACCGTCACTTCCTTCCCGTACTACGAGTGCTCCACGGATTCGAGCCACACCGCAGCAACGCCAAGGCCTTCAAGTCCCTGCAGCTGAGGAGGAAGGAAGGGGGAAGAGGAGAGTTCAACCCCCTAATAGGCTGACCTATGATGCGCCGGGAAAGCAGGGCAAGACAGCCCTGGCCGGAGCGGCAATGATGGTCGGAGACGACGAGGAGAGTGAGTACGAGGAGTGTGCCTTCGCGTTCTTCTCTCCGGTGGAGATGCCGGGAGAACCAGCAACTCTCAAGGAGGCTTTGGAGAGTAGTGATGCTGAGGAGTGGAAGAAGGCCATGGAGAGTGAGCTGAAGAGCATCGAGGAGAATGACACGTTTGAATTGGTGGAGCTACCGGAGGGGCGT